GTAGCACCTTGTCAAGCAGAAGTGACCTCAGCCATGGCTGCATAAATGGTGCCTACGTGGTACAGGGCCTAAGACTCAGGGAAAACCTTTCCCTCCACCCCTGTACCCCGGTCCCCACCTCCCCAAGCTGTCGTTTCTACTCACCGTTGTCTCTTTTCTGGCCCTTAAAAATGTAAATTCTCTTGGCAGTGTTAATGTATTAGGTACTCAATGTATTCAACATTTTTAGCTCCGTATTTCTCAATGTGATGATATAAGCATCGTAGGACTGTTACGTGTTTTGATCTAGAAAGAACTAAAGGATTGAGGGATGAGGAAACTGTTGAAGAAGAGGGCAGAAGAGGCAGAGGCGTGGGCAAGAACCTGTTTCCATCTCACAGTCTGGCATGAACCTGTCTTGTTAATAGTCACGGTAGCAAGGGTTCTTGACAACAGTGGGCGTGACTCAGACCCATCAATTCTGGTTGTTTAAAACTTACGGCCTGAGGATTTTAAACATGTCTAATACCTGGGGCTGGTGGGGATAAGGATTTGTTCCTGCCTGTAACTGAGACGTGGCGCAATGGGGATAGGCTCTCCTCCCGCAAGAGGACCATGGGCACCAGGAAACTTCTTGATCCAGTGACCTCGCTTCTAGGAACCTATCCTAAGAAAATAATTGAAGGCACACTCAAAGACTTATCCACTAGGACTCACATAGAGTTTGTTGTTTATCTAGGTAAAAAACCAGAAATCCCCTAAATTTCCATCAACAGACAGATGGTCAGGCTTAATTTGATGATCCATGTAATGGAATATAATGGCTGACATTAAAATTACGTTGTAGAAGAATCGCTACGATTTAATAACCTGAGAAATGCTAATGAGATAGCTGAGTTGAACAATTAGAAGACAAATTAATTTGTGTATGTGAATACACATGTGTGTGATGTGTGTCTCTGTGTATGTGAATGCGTGTATGTGTGTGAATGTGTGTCTCTGTGTATGTGAATGCATGTATGTGTGAATGTGTCTCTGTATGTGAATGCATGTATGTGTGAACGTGTGTCTCTGTGTATGTGAATGTGCGTATGTGTGTGTGTCTCTGTGTATGTGAATACACGTATGTGTGAATGTGTGTCTCTGTGTATGTGAATGTGCGTATGTGTGAGTGTGTGTCTCTGTATGCTAATGGGTGTATGTGTATGTGTGTCTCTGTGTATGTGAATAGGCGTATGTGTGACTATGTGTCTCTGTGTATGTAAATACGCGTATGTGTGAGTGTGTGTCTCTGTGTATGTGAATATGCGTATGTGTGAATGTGTGTCTATGTATGTGAATGTGCATATGTGTGAGTGTGTGTCTCTGTATGCTAATGGGTGTATGTGTATGTGTGTCTCTGTATGCGAATATGCATGTGTGTGAATGTCTCTGTGTATGTGAATACACGTATGTGTGACAATGTGTCTCTGTGTATGTGAATACGTGTATGTGTGACTATGTGTCTCTGTGTATGTGAATACACGTATGTGTGACTGTGTCTCTGTGTATGTGAATACGTGTATGTGTGACTGTGTGTCTCTGTGTATGTGAATACGTGTATGTGTGACTATGTGTCTCTGTGTATGTGAATATGCGTATGTGTGAATGTGTGTCTCTGCATGCATACGTGTGATCTGACCTAAAAATATTCATTTATATGTAGGAAAAAAACACTGAAAGGAAATTATCTAAATGTTAACATTGGGTGTCTCTGAATTATAGAATTATGTACAGTTGCAGTTGTTTTATGTGTCATCTTCTATAATTTCCTTTAACATAAGTATCACCTGCTTATAAATGTATAGGCACATATGGATTTTGCAAATGTATATACAGAGTTTGTTGAGACATAGGGGAAATCAGACAATGTGGAAATTCATAAAACTAGACAGTGCCCAGTCTTAGAGCAAAGTCAGAAAAATGTCAATGGGATTTCTTTTTTCAGAAGAGGAAAAGTCAGGAATAATATAGATCTCATCAATCTTTTCTACCTTATTGAAGTCAAAAGGAGAAAAAAAATTGTGGAATGCCATTTTTATTTCCAGCCTCTGGAAAATGTTTTTGGGTAATCCTGAATCTTCTCTACATGTGAGCTGTGAGCTCTCTGAGTCACAGGCTAGGGATTCTGCCAGGCAATAGGACCCCAAGTCCTCCTTGATGCTTCCCCTATTTGCAGAGAGGAATGGATTTGGAACATTGAAGATGGTATCTGTATGGTATTCAGTTTAAACTGGAATAGCCCAAAGTCTCTTTAGGAAATTTCCTGGTGCAACTCATTTTATTTTTGGATTTTTAGAAATATGATTACATAAAAAAGCTCAGAAACGATTACCTATATGCTTAACTACAATTATATAATACTTTGTGTACACAAAGTAGATAAATGTAAATATTAAACAGGAATAAAAATCAGCCAGATATGGCATCACAGAGAAGATAAAATGGACTTTGGATTTTTCCCCATTTCTGCTTTTCCTTCTTAGTGGCCAGAAGGTGAGTCCGCCACATTGTACAGTGTGGTGCTGCTTTGAGACCCCATGGGCCTCCACTCTCCTGAGCACTGTCCTCTCCTCAGAGGTCAATACTGAGTCTACAAACATTGTTGATTTAATGACTTAGAAAACTTGTTTTATTTGAGTTAAAAAACCAATCTCATGCAAATAAGCTATGGTTACTGGGTTTTAACCTATTCATTATGAAGTATGTATGTATGTATTATTTTTGAGGCAGGGTCTTGCTTTGTTGCCCAGGCTGGAGTACAGTAGCACAATCTCAGCTCACTGAAGGTTTGACCTCTCAGGCTCAAGCAGTCCTTTACCAGCCTTCCCAGTAGCTGGGACTGTAGGCGTGCACCGCCATACCTGGCTAATTTTTGAATTTTTTAGAGACAGGGTTTTTCCATGTTGCCCAGGCTGGTTGTGAACTCCTAGGCTCAGGCAATCCACCTGCCTTGGCCTCCCAAAGTGCTGAGATTACAGGTGTGAGCCACTGTGGCTAGCTCATTATGGAGTATTTATTAAGAACCTACTTTGAACTGGATACCACTAAGAGTACCAAAGAAAACAAGATGAAATCAACACGGCAGCCATTCTTAAGGAACTCACGGTCTAATGAACCTCAGTGAATCAACATCCACAATCTATCTTTATGTTTTTCATTTACATCTCCTTAGTTAATGTAACAAAAGCAAGGGTTTTGTTTCTTTTTTAAAGCAAGAGGGTCTCCTCCCGGCCGGAGTGCAGTGGTTCTACCATAGCTCACTGCAGCCTTGAACTCCAGGGCTCCAGTGATTCTTCTGCCTCAGTCTTCCAAGTAGCTAGGAGTACAAGTGCATACCACTATGCCTGATCATTTTTTTATTATTTTTATTTTCCATAGAGATGGGGTCTTGTGTTCCCAGGCTGATCTTGAACTCCTGACCTTAATCGATCCTCCCACCTTGACCTCCCAAAGTGCTGGGATTACAAGTTTGAACCACCATGGTTGGCCTTGTTTTCTTTTAATCTACATTGTATGACTGAGAAAATAATGCGAGGGAGGTCACCATCTCCATAACACTCGGTTCTCCCAGACCACCCCCGGGAGCATCAGAAAACATCTGGTTGTTTCGTCCACTCACTGTGACATTTATCTAAATGTACCTAAGGAGTTACGGTTTCAGATTTATAGTTATGGGAAACGGGTGGGAGGATGTCAATTGTAAGCCAGTTCGAGCAGCTAAAAGCATGCAAATTATTAAATCTCTTGGGCAGAGAGATTCTTTCACCTCTCTACTTTCATTACCAAAGCTGAGACACCTACGTTATAACCCCGTCTCCTGCCACGCGGCCCTCTGCTGGCTGCTGAGCCTCTGAGGAGAGTCCTCAGTCACCTGTGTTCTCCATGGGAAGTGACCCAGGGCTGCCTAGAGATGACGCCCAGAGGATACTCCCCGGCCCCAGACAGACTCCTTTTCTGACTTCTCAGAGATGTGGTGCTGGTGTTAGACGGCACTCAGGGCCCAGGTTTACTCATGCACAGGAGTCCTATTGTCTGTGTCACCGGTGAATTCTTGAATGAGAAAGAAGCAAGCAAAAATATTTTTCTTAAAATTTCTTCCTTTGTTGTACATTTGTGATCGGAAAGAATGACTGTCATTTCTGCAGGCGAATGTTTCATAGCATCGATAGCATCTCTACCTGTCCGGGGACCCTTTAAAACAGGCAATGCACCTGCACATAAAATGACATCTTCCCAGTGATCAGGAACGAAAATCGTTCCTGCGGCTTCTCATGGAATCTGGCTGTCTTTAACATCATGTGTCCTTTAATGAGGGTGACCATATATGCCTGTGCAGTTGCTTCCCTTTCATCAAGCTCCTGATCTGGATGATGCATGTATGGTGGTCCTTCCATGTGGCGGGCAGGCCAGTGTGGTGGAGGACCATCCTGCCTAGTGTGAACCTTTGCTTTGCTTCAGGTGTGGCTGCCGTCCTTGCAGAGCTTCCTTCTTGCGATTCTGGTTATTGTCTTATTCCAGTCCCTGGGTCCTGACTTCTGCTGATTGGTCTTCCAGTGGAAGCCATTAGGGTATTTAAATGTGAATTTCTTGTGATTTTAGGAAATAGACATTTTTTTGCCTATGAAAGGGCCAACCAGACTCTGAATGTTTTTCTTGATGAGAAGCTGTGCATGAAATAGCAAAGGTGGCCTGAATCTTCTGCCAATGCAAAAGTGAGTCTAAAAGTGTCATCCCACAGTGTCTGGTCTCCTGTGTGAGTTTCTGCTTTACATTTTCAGTTGAGTTGGGGAGGAGAGTTGTTTCTAATGGTCTCTTCTAAAAACTTTAGCCTTTTACAATTCAGACTGACCCTTAGGCAAATTTCCTTGTAAGATTTACCACAGAATCTTGGGCACATTCTTGAATCTAGCGCCCAAGTGCTGGGAACACATTCATTATTTCTGTGTTGGTGATTCCGTTTCCTTCCCTGTCTCTTTCAGGTCTCACTCTCCTTTGCTCCAGATGTCCAGCGCCAGGTCTAAAGATCCCTGCTTTACTGAAAACACTCCTTTGCTGGGGAGCTCCTTACAGGAGAAAGGGTGAGATATGTCCCCCCTCATATGAAAGTAAGCGTGTCTGCGCCTCGTTCTTGGCACGTATGCTGGAGAACTTCTTGAGATGCGAACTTTTACTGGACGTGTTTAACCTCTGCCAGATCTTGACAATTTATTGTAGTAGATGTTCTTGATTCCAGTGGTTATATTCTGTGGGTATTAATTTCCAGACGGCCTTGAGCATAACCCTGCAGTGATTGCATAGCACACATGCACACTCATGCATGCACGAAACTCTGACGGGCCATTTGACCAGGCTGTGGTTTCTCAGCTAGGGCATGGTTGGAATTGCCTGGAGACATTTTTGGTTGTCACGCTGAGGGCTGAGGGCTGAGGTGCTTCTGGCATCTAAGGGCAGAGGTCAGGGATGCTGCCAAACATTCTGCAACGCACAGGACAGCCCCCACCGCAAAGAATTGTCCAGCGCAAATGTCAGTAGTGATGAAGTTGAGAAACCCTGTATATTTTTTTCACAAGAAAACTCAATTTCCCGCAAACTTGCAGGTCCTTTTTGGGCACAAATCAAGGTGGTTCTGGAATTGCCTGAGCAGAGCTGACCCGGAGGGTAAGTTACAGATGCTTCCTTCTGGGATGAACGGCCATGGGCCAGGCCTGCGGCCTCATCTTCTCTTCTTTCTGCAAGCAAACTGCCACAAGCCTGAGCCACCTGCTCCATGTTTCCTGGCTCCTTGCACATCACAAACCTGGTGACATTAATACCCACAGAATATAACCACTGGAATAATAAACATCTACTACAACAAATTGTCAAGATCTGGCAGAGCCTAAACATGTCCAGTAAAAATTGTCACTATCAATCTGATCAAAAGTATCAGAACCCAGTTTAAAATCATTTATTCAAGCACAAAGTTGAGGATAGCCATTTGGGAAACACAGAATCCAAAGAAATGGGATCAGTGCTCCAAAGCTGAAAAGATAAGGTCTAATTCTTATTAATATAGGCAGAAAACAGAGAAATGTAGAAGGACCACATTTTCATACAAGGCTGGTGTATAAATTACAGCTTTCTCCCCAATTTAAAAGAGTCTATTTGACATTCCATGTTAGACAATATGATAGTCATGAGGTCTTTGTGTGAGAGAAGAAGGAAGTTAATCTATCAATGAAGAGCAACAGTGAAGAGGAAAGGGGTCTTCTCTGGTGCCTGTTAGTCTTTTACAACATTTTATAAAACAATGTAGGTAAGGAAAAAGGCTAATATAGAATCAGAGAAAAAAAGGCCACAGCTGACTCTTATGTGACTCGTTCCATAATCACATTCTTTTAAGACTCAAAATAATGTAAACTTCCAACAGCTTTGATTTTGAATCCCCTATTTGCACAGCATGGCTGCTGTGTCTCCCTCACTCACCTCTGAGCCTCTGAGGAGCTGCCTCCTTTCTCCCGAGCCCAGTCTGCAGCCAGGGAGGGGAGCGGAGGGCTTCACACTTTAGGGGGCTTTGCATGCCACATGCGTTCCTGTCCTCAGCCTCCAAATACTCCGGCTCGCAGGATTTGGATGGGCTGCAGATATCTGGATTTATCACTTCTCAGTGCAGGGGTGATTTGTTCACACAAAGCCCTTGACTAGAGGAAACTCCTTCCCTCCCTGGCTCTCCAGGGCAGTCAGTACTATTCCTGTCAAGGGATTCAAATATCGCTTCCCTTGAGAGCCCTTAGTAGTCTCTGTCCCACCCACCAGTGCTGCTCCTACGCTCTCAAACACTACATGCCCTTACTTACAACCTAGTCCTTGTGCTGTCTATGGTTATGTCAGCCAGCCTGTGCCCTCTTCATCGTCCATCCTGGTACCCAGTACAGTCCCTGCCACCCGCCCCTCAGTGACTGGATGGATAAGGATTGTAAGCTGAGGCATTCCCACTGACCCAGCTGCTTCCAGCTTCTGTACTGGGGGATAACTTAATTCTCCTCCATTGCTCCTAATCAATAACTTTTAAGACAAAGACTCTACACAGCTATTCCCTTAATGCTTTCTCTTGAATTACTTGGTAAATTGTGCAGGACTGTGACATTTAAGAACTTGAAGTTAACTGGAAAACCATTAATGTGTAAGCATTTGTCCTGGCATGCCCTGGGAGGCAGAGCTGGGCCTCATGTCACAAAAACCACTTCAAGGGAGCAGAACATGGGTCGGCTTTGCTTACAAAACTTTTCCTTTTCTCTTTTTGCATGAAGCTAATTAAGGTATTGGTGGTAGGAATGTGTTTTTCATGCTTTACTTTTATCAACTTTATTTTGTTGCAGTTTTAGTTTGATCAAATGCTTATTAGGATAATATCCATTGATTTACACCTTTTCAGAAGTGTTCTTTTAAGGGTGTTGAGAGAAGGAATGTGTGGTACAAAGGTCAGAGCATGCCCTGTATCTGCACTGACGGTAGCCACTCTTCAGGGATGGTTATTTAAATTAAAATTAAAAATTCACTACTTCAGTAGCACTGGCCACACTTCCAGTTACCCCGCATTTTGGACAGGGCAGCGAACACGGCTATCACCACAGGAAGCTCTGTTGCACAACACTGCTCTAGAAGGCAGTGACAGTAACTTGTTTTTCTCTTTCTACTTATAGGAAAAGGTTCCAATTTTGGTTCAGTTTTTGCTTCCAATGTTGTTACAGTTGTATTTTCAGCAGTTAGAAAGTGATATTATTTCTCACGCACCTGAGCATTTTCCAGTCACAAAATTGATAGAAAGTATTATCAACTATTTTCAGTCATGTGTTACCTTGTTACACATTGGTTATACATGGCTTAATTGGCATCTCCTTATGAATAACATTTTTTCCTTGTGAACCACTGCTAAAGCAGTCATGTGTTCAGGAGAATCACAATGCCCCATTGATATGGCTCCGTTCCAGTGTATCACAGAACACATCTGTTGCTAATGTCATTATTGTGGTCTCATGAATATTCCATGTGATACATGAAAATTCTGGCTTTTGCTACTACCTTTTAAGAGTCAAGTGCATCTGTTATGAAGGAATTGATCAGAAGGTCAGGGATTCAACTGAAATTAATTGGAGGCTCTGTACAGTGGCTCATGCCTCTAATCCCAGCACATTGGGAGGCCAAGGTGGTCAGATTACTTGAGATCAGGAGTTCACGACCAGCCTGGTCAACATGATGAAACCCTGTCTCTACTAAAAATACAAACATTAGTTGGGCGTGGTAGCACGTGCCTGTCATCCCAGCTACTGGGGAGGCTGAGGTAGGAGAATTACTTGAACCTGGGAGGCAGAGGTTGCAGTGAGCTGAAATCACGCCACTGCACTCCACCCTGGGTGACAAGACTCTGTCTCAAAAAACAAGACAAAACAAAACAAAAACAAAAATCCCAGAAGTAAATGGATGTATTCTCAAGTAATTCTGAGAAAAGTTTATGATTCCACTTGAGTCATCCCTCTAGGTACTGGCCCCATTCTTGGCCTGTCTAGTCAGGTACTAATGTTCCTTCTTCCTGCTCATGCTCCTGTGGATGTTGTGTGGGAAGCCAGGGAGGCCACCTCCCATGCTGCTCCACTGCAGAAAGAGATCTATCTACACAGGGTAGGAAACACTGGCACCGTTCACCCTGGGCAGGTCTCACAGATCTAGGTATTGGCTGCTGGACCCCATACAATGAGAAAGCAAACACTGAAATCAGCAGGAACTGGTCTGAGCCAGAAACAGCTTTCTTGGAAAGTCCCAAACTCAGAAAAAGCTGGTTTCTTGAGGGCTCACAATTCATTTTGAAGACTTTAGTGACTCCAGAAAATTTCCTTTGAGGTAAGTGTTCTGTGAAGCCACAAAAGGCCCATTCCCACCAGCATGAGAACGCCATAGTCTGTGGTCCTTTGAAAGACCAGGGTTGATTCAGTGGCATTTCACACGTCAGGTCTCAGAGGAAAGGAAAGCTTGTTTTGCAGACGTTACTATTTCAGGAGAAACAACCAGACCTCTCTTGCTTCCCAGGTCACCGCGCATGCCCGTTTACCATCCCGAGTTCATCTCCGAAGAGTCTTGGGAGGACAGCTCTGCCGATTGGGAGCGAAGATACCTGCTGAGCAGGGAGGTGTCTGGTCTGTCTGCATCTGCCTCCTCCGAGAAGGGGGACCTTCTGGACAGCTTGCACATCCGACTCCGTCTTTCCAAGCTGAGGTAGGCGGACCTGGGGTGCCCAGCCTGGCAGCGGTGGCCGCACATCAGGTCCTGCGTCCCCCTCCCTCCTCAAACCTGCAGGGTGAAGACGAGGATGAGCTTTGCCTCATCTGGCCAGGCTGCACTTTTCCTCCAAGGTGATTTGTTTTTACCAGGCCTAGGGAGACATTGAAGGCGGCCTGCAAATCGTGCAGCGCCTGAGAGGACAAACCTGAATGACTGATATTGTACAGTCCTCTCCTTCCTGCTTCTGTGGCTAGGGTCTTCATGGTCAGGGGTTTGCAAATAGCATCTGTCTGCTTCAGGGGTCCCCGGCGTTTTCGAATTTGATACACCTTCCTAGTTATTGAGGAAGGAGTGGGTCTGGCTCAGTGTGCAGCCTGAAGGGTGCAGTTCCCTCCTGCGCTGTGGGCCCTGGAAGCCTTGTTAAGGCTCAAAACGTTTTAGAAGTTGCAGTCCCTTTGGAAAACTATTAAGGTGTAAGCATTTGTCCTGGGCACGTGCTCCAAGAAGCAGCGCTGCCTAGAGAGAATGGGTGGTGCGCATGCGTGTGTGCGGGATGCGGGATGCGCATGCGTACAGGAGGAATGGGTGGGGATGCGCATGCGTACGGAACGGCCGTGCGAGTGGGACGCGCATGCGTGGGAGGCCGCGGGCGGGCGTGGGCAATGGCGGTCTCAGTACCAGGCTGTTTACCCGCTGGGTTCCCCCGTGGCACTTTCATTTGAGAGGCACGTGTTGGAAGGCATCATCTCCCAACAAGGTTTGGGAGCCAGGACCGGGGGCTTCCGTTCTGCTCCGCCCCGAAGTCGCGGCGCGCCCGGGCAGGGCCTGGTGTGGCGGCGAGGCGCCCTCGCCGGGACCTCCCACGGGCTGCACTAAGGTTCTGTGCGGAAGCCCCAGGGAAGTGAGAAGGCGCCGCTCGGTCATCAAATGCCGGGGCGCCGTGGCCGTGTGGGGGGGACCAGCCTCTTCTGAAGATGCGCGCGGTTGTTTGGGGGCCGCCTCCGACTCCCTGTGGGGCGCGGGGACCCGCCGCCCCGTGCGTGTTCCCACAGTCCTGGGAGGGACACGGAGGGCGCCTCCAGGAGGGCAAGGCTTCTGCCCAAGGCCGCACTGTGAGCCAGGCCGAGGGGCAGGGAGTCCGCCCTAGACCCCCCCACCGCTGCTTGACGTGGAGCTTCGCCCCAGCGTGCCTCTCAGGCGCCCAGAGCTGCCTCATGATGAGAAGGGGCCCTTGGTGCAATAAACGTTTGGCCAGTGAATCCGCTGTGAGATTTTGTGAGTTGGGTGAAATCGTGTCCGTTGGGTCAACAAGACGGCAAGCCTGACACTGTTCACGCCTTTTCCCAGCTGGCTGGGCAACCACTCCCGAGTATGCCGTGTCCTCAGCCGCCCTACAACGTGGATAGACTCAAGTACATTTGAGACGTTTGCATTCAGTACTTGCTTTATCTTCTATGATTCATGGGATATTTGCCTTTGAGCTTGCCACTGAACTAAAGGACGTTAGTGCCATTCTTTATAACATGTCTAAAAAGTACCATGCGTGATCAGTGAAGAAGCTTGTAAAAAACCTTTCATTTGGGGTTGTCAGCTCTGCTGCAGATGTCAGTTATGTAGAAAAAAATTTGTATTTAGAATAGCTCAATGTTTCATGCTCTAAAAAGAAATGTCATTTCGATTCCTATTTAGGAGCTGTTGAATCATAATTTGGAAGCGTGAACTGATTATTCATCAAATTCATTAAATCTAAGAGAATGCAAAACAAGATTTTACCATTTTTAAAGGATCAGATTCAAAGACAGATGAAATTTAACTGAGGAGAGTATTAAAAAGATGTTCCAACATAGAGTTTCTTAGTTCATTCTACTCACACTCAAGCATGGTCTGTGTACAAGCATCCTTCCACGAGTGCGGACAGAGCAAACACGATCTAGTGCCTGCCCTCATGGGGCAGCCGGTGAGAGAGTACGCCCTAGACTGGGGGAGCCGGGTCTGGCTGCTGAGTGAGCAGAGACGGGCATGATGGGTGGACTGCAGTCAGGGGTACCCCAGCAGGGCAAACGCCTTGTGGTCTCGTCTGGGAGCAGCAAGGACATTGGTGGGATGGAAAGGCAGCAGAATGCAGGCCAGACCCAGGTTCATGTAGGGCCCAGGGGATCACGGTTAAGAAGTGGGTAATGTTGAGGGGCTGGAATGCCTTTGGCAGTCCTCAGTGGGGGCTGAGTATGTAGCTTGTATTAAGTTACTGCCTAAGGAATTCTTAAGATCTGCTAATACAACCGGTAATGGCATAGCAATTTCTTTCTTAAATTATTTGTTTTTACATTTGATGGTCAAATCTGTATTTCTACCTTTCAGAAAACGTAGGGGAAAATAAATGGTAAATATGAATCAAAGAGACAAGGCATTCCGTTTACT